ATCATCGTCTATTTCTTCTTAATTTGTAATCATTTGAACCCAGCATCTTTTTATTATTAATCCATCATCAATTCGTATATTCTTCTCTTTTTTGTTTTTGTTAATTGTTCTATTACATCATAGTAATGGTTCCGTTAATTAATAGAAGGATATATGATTCCGACTATGAAAATTGGAATGAAAATAGGAAAAAGTCTTTGCATGATCCTATGAATCTTCAGAAGGATTCAAACAAAGACTCTGACGAAACATCAAAATCAAAGGTTGTCAAAATACAACAAAAAGAAAAAAAGAAGCAGCAAAATTGTTGTTAGGCCTACATTGTCTCGGGTTAGTATTTTGGAACTTAAAAATGTTGTTTAAATTAGTAAAAATTTTAAGGAATCAAGTGTGTTTGCTGATACATTTGAATAAGTGTGTATAGTGTTTTAGATGGTGAATTGATACATGAATTTGTTGTGTATCATAATATTTTATATGTATCATGAAGTTTTGAAAATTATTATAATGTATCATTCAATAAGTTTAGTAAATGCGTCATCAACTGTGCTTGATGATACATATGGAATCTGTGTGTACAGTGTTTAGTCAATGCACTGATACATGTAGTAGATATGTATCACATGTTTTGCATGTAGTATGAATTCCTGAAAACTGATATCATGTATCAGTAAGGTATTAGTTGTTTAGTTGATGTACTGATACATGGTTTGAAAATTATTATAATGTATCATTCACTAAGTTTAATAAATGCTTCATCAGCTGTACTTGATGATACATATAAAATCAGTGTGTATGTTATTTAGTCGATATTTCTGATACATGTATTAGACATGTATCAAATGTTATAATGTTTTATTTAATTCACTGATACATGTACGTTGTCGTTTGTCAATGTATTTGCAGGATGAAGTAAAGACCAAATGAGTAATGCCAAGTGGGGAGATGACAATGATTTTTGTTTCCAAGATTCTTTTATTTTATGTAGTTAGGACTTAGGAATAGGAGAGATCCAATGACAAGAGGAACATGAGTGAAAAATAATCAAGTTTTTTTTGAGTTTTCTTACTTTTTGTTTTTAATGATTCTGATCATCCGATGTATACTCAATTGCAAACATGATACTACTAGCAAGTAAAAAAATATATTTATTTATTGAAAACCTCTCTTACCTTACTGTTTTTTGCCAATGATTTACCTGAAAAGTACTAGTGAATTCAGCACTTACGAGTTTCTCGATTTTACAAAATTTAAAAGCCACTTAATATATCACAAAACAAATTATATCAAAATTAAGTAAACGAGTACTTCTGTCACTATTTAAAAATAAAACTAATAATTTACCTCAAATTTTCAATATTCACTTCAATAATCTTCATGTTTGGGCCTTATTTTACTTGACTAGCTAAGTGGATTCTTTGTTTTTGGGAATACTGAAAGATTGTTTGTTGATATAATAGCACTAGTTTAGATACATACTAAAACATTAGATATGATTATATTAAGCTAAGAAATGAACAAGACACATACATGATACAAAGTCTCTCCCTTTTGGTTCAATGCATATACAAAAACCACAGCATGAACAAGATGGAGAGTGAGTGACCTTTACTATTACATGGCTCTCTACATGACTCTATTCACTACTACACCAACCTCTGCAAATGTCAAAAACACCATTGCAGGAGGCCATACCTGACACCATACATGATATATATTTTATAAAAAAAAAAAAAACAAAGTAATACTACAACAAAGTATCAAAGAGCTGCCCAATCAATCTCCGCGGAAGGGTACTTGGGTAAGAAGAAGTTTTCTGATTCATCGAAATTCAAGAAAGTAATATCAAACTTAGGCGAAGATGATGATTCCTCGGATGGTGTAGGGGATGATGATGATGATGAAGCCTCAATCTTGATAGTACCATTTTCTGGATAGCTGAATTCTTCTTTCAATGAATCATCAAAATCGAAGTATTCATCTTGAAAAATTCACTGTAACAACAATAAAATTAATGTAGTTCAAAATTTAACAGATTGTTCATAAAAAATGTTTTCAAAATAGATGATATAATTTCGATTTTCAAAATTTGAAATCAATATCCAATTACGTGCTGATTTTATGGTGATTAATGATCTGTTACCTTTAATTAAGCTGTTTTAGTAACAACATTAATTGTACCATTTTTCCCCATTTTTTTCTCAACAGTTTAAACTTACCATGTATCACTAGAGTCTAAAGTATCACAGAACAACAAATTTAAGGGATTTTTTGTAAATACTAAATTTATCGGGACAGAATGTAATTATTGAATTACATTATGGGATTCCTTAAATTTTTACAATTATTATCCCTCAAACGAACTTGTGAAAAATTCAGGTTAATACTTAATAGAAGGGAAAAAAACGTGGAGAGGTTCTTAATATTATGGGCCGGTAGTATTGAGGGGAATCAATGGGCCACTCGAAAAGGCTTTACGTTTTTGTAGGGTAGCCCATTTTAGTGGCCCGGAGGAATTGGATTGCCTCTATAAATTCAGTATATTTTATGCGAATGTCACAGTGTTAATAGTTAATTATATTATATTTTTTACTATTTTCCAAATCATGAAAAAAATTTAAATTTGATGAAATTTGGATATATCCCAAACACCTCAATTTCTGATACATCCCTCAACGTGTTATATATTGCGCCTTAATTTCAGATATATCACTAAACGCTCTGATATATCGCATACGTTCCGATACAGTCAAGTCTAGTGGTGTAACTGACTAATACATTGCATACGTTCTGATACAATCACATGATGTATCCGATCGATACATCACGTATGTATTCGATTGATACATCTCCGAAAGTAATATTCCAATACATCGAGTACGTCTCGACTCATCGTAAAGTAATGTATTTAATCGATATATCGTGTAAAATGATGTATCCAACTGATACATTATGAGTTTTTATAATTTTCAAATGATAAGGAATTCTAGAAAATCTACTAAAAATAAGTTTATGTATTTATAAATATACAAAATAAGATTACAAGTATTACAAAATCTAATAAAAGTTTCTTTCTTTTCGGTAAATCAATATAAAATTAATTTATTTTGCTAAAGTCTAACTATTCATGTACATTTGTTACATAGTATGTGTTACCTTATCGATGTTGTTGGTCCTAAATTAGATAAAGGGAAAAAAAGAATCATGTTATACTAACAATTGATTTAAAAATAAGTATTTCTAGTGATGATTTTGAATTTATCAATTCTAAATCATATAGAGAAAAAAAATAATCATGATATATCAATAATCAATATAATACTGTATTAATTAGTTTATGAATACAATACAATAACTCCATCAATATTTGTTTGAAATTGATACATAGCAATATAATATATAGTAATAGCTGTAAAATTGCAACTAGGCCAACTTGGTTTACTTGGCCTGGCATCATTCCTTTTTTTAAAATCTTTTTTTCTGTCTTGTTAGTCGTTAAATAATCTTAACTAATTTGATTAGACAACGTGATTAATTCTTTCTTATTATATTATGTTTCTTTATTATTACAACGTATATTTTATGATTAAAAAAGTAGTGAGAACTGAGAAGATAAGAAACAGTTCTTTTTAATAATTATTAATATATTCTTAGGGGGGATAGGAGGTAGGTGAGTAGTGGAATTGGAAATTATATATGGAAGCAACTTAATTTATACATATATATATTTTAATTAGAAAAATAAGAATTTATATATCGACGATAAATAGTATATTACATAATCATATTTTTTAAAAGAAGACGTTGTACAAGTAAATTTTTTAATAAAAATGGGGCATAATCTACTTATATATATATATGAGAAAGTGGTATGTGTAGAATTATGAACCGAGAGTGAAACTTAAGTTATGAGTTTATCCAATTAATACAGGGAAAGCATTTTCAAGAAGAATTATATTTTATTTATTGATTTTTTAAAATGTTAATATAATTCGATTAAATTGTCAATGACGAGTAAACTGTGATAAAAATGGAAATTAATTATTAATAATAGGTCAAATTTGGTTAATAATTGTTAAAGATTTACATTCCAAAGATTATGAGTATATTTATGGTAAAAAATTAGAAATTCACTGATATAATATGTATACTTAATACATTAGAATAATACTTTGTTAATATATATCCTATTCCTCTTTCAAAAAAACTTTATTTTCCTCTTATATCATAGGCTTTTAACTTTTTCACATAATAAATCAAAAATAAGAAAATTGTAAATTTACAATTTCAAAAATTAAATAAATAAATTATTTTGATAAATTCTTGATTTAAAGATATTAATCTTTAATTGATTACAAATATATTATTTTAAATATTATCAACTTAAAAAAGATATTACATCGGAGAAATAATAGCTTTGTTATTCAAAATGGATGATATAAGAAAATATAAAATGCAATTATAATAAGTGAAGAGTCAAATAAATCCAACTGATGATTGGTCTTAAAATGACAGCGCGTGAATTACAAAGCCGCCGTAATATGAAATATTGAATTTTTTTGATAAAAGAAAAGTAGAAAGTAGGTACACGCCTGTTTATTCCGTCATCCACAAACCGACAAAAAAAATTTAAAAATAAATAATTAAAAAATAAAAAAAGCACTATGTCCAAAACATTATCCACAACACAGCCCATCCCAACAAATCCCATTCAGCATCTTACGTGTCATCCACCGTTAGATTCTTCCACGTGTCACTTTACCCCTTATCGCAGCCGTTCCCACTTGCCGTAAAACGAACCTTCCCGATTTTATGCCACGTCATACATTTTATCCAAAACTCCTCACGTGACTCCAGCTCACTCCACATAGAGTACATTACAAGCGCGTGTAATCGACACGTGTTTTTTCCCTTTTTATAGAATAAAATATAATATATATATATATAGTGAAAAATATTTATTTTTATTATATATATATATTATGTATATATAATTATTATATTAAGGAAGTAGTAGTAAAAACGAATATTGATTTCTCCTCTTTCTCTTGTTCATATTCATATACAAGCAGCAAAGCAAATAGATATTTTTGTTTTTGACTACTTCTTCGGTTTTCAAGTATGGTTCAATTGATGAGAACAACCATGGAAGAGTCGCCGGAGTTGCAGTGGCAAAAAGGGAAGAACGCGGCGGTGAAGCTCGAGTTTGAAGATGCTTTAGATGAAGCATACGGTCCACTCAGCAAGCGATCTAAACTTTCTTCTTCTTCTCTACAAGTAGGTTCTCTTCTCTTTTGCTGATTTGATTTTTCTGCAGATTCTGTGATTGTGCTTTGCTTGTAGGCAATCAATTATAAAAAGGATGATGAGATTAAGGATTTTAAGTTAAGTTAATTAATCAGGTGACTTATCATTGATGGTAGATTATCAATTAATGTTTATTAAATAGGGTTACTTGAAGTTTCATGGATAGTGAGTTGATGGAGTTAATAACTCAGAAGATTTAGGATTTAAGAGTGTATAAATATAGAAAATTGTAGCAGATCTAGGAGGGAAGGTTTTTCATATAAAAAGGAGTTTTGCTGATTGATGGATTATTTATAGCCAGTTCTGAGTGATTCCTATGAAGTTTATTGTATGATTAGGTTAATTGAATTTGTATGATTAGCTTAATTGAATTGGGGGATCTTTTTTCCTACAGCAGCAATTGGTTGTAGAAGCTGATGGTTTTCCAGTACCGCCTTCGCAGTATAACCCGCTTGATGAGCCCAGTCCGTTAGGTTTGAGGCTAAGGAAGAGTCCATCACTGTTGGATTTGATCCAGATGAAGCTTTCTCAGGGGAACAACGCCAAGGTGGGAAATCAAGGGAAGAAGGAGCAGAAGGGGAACACTGGAACAATTGAGAAACTTAAGGCTTCGAACTTTCCTGCCACAGTTCTAAGAATTGGGAGCTGGGAGGTAATATTGATGTTTTAGTTTAGAGTGTGATTTGTAATCTTAGAGTGAAAATTGAAGTTTGGAAGTGCTAGATGTGATTGGAATTGTGTTGTTGTCTGCAGTACAAGTCAAGATATGAAGGGGATCTAGTGGCAAAATGTTACTTTGCGAAGCATAAACTTGTTTGGGAAGTCCTTGACGGTGGTCTCAAGAATAAGATCGAAATCCAGTGGTCAGATATTATGGGTTTGAAGGCAAATTACCCTGACGATGGACCTGGAACTTTAGATGTAGTGGTAAGTGATGGACTATCTCTTTTGTTGTTGTTATTGTGAAACTATTTCCTGCTACTGAATTGGCGAAGGTACTAAGGGATTCTTGTGTTGCAGCTTTCAAGACAACCTCTTTTCTTCAGGGAGACGAATCCACAGCCTAGGAAGCACACTCTTTGGCAAGCAACATCTGATTTTACTGGAGGACAAGCTAGCATGCACAAGTATGTTTCTTGTCTTATTTTTACTTGTTCGCTATTTGTCTTTGCTCTGTTTATGAACTAGCACTACTAGTAGTTGCCTTTACTAATTTTCCTTAATTTTTGGGGATGCCAATTCCCTAAGTACTCATCTGTTGCCTTTTTAAATTATAATTAAGGTCTCCAGGCTGCTTGATACCTCCGACTAGCACTGTCACCAAGACTTGGACAGATAGGAAGAAATTACCTTATTGTTTTTGCCTGGGATTTAAATCTGATACGTAATGATTCCCAGCCCACTTCATACACTAGCCCACACCCTTGCCTACCAAATCTGTTGCTTATTCTACCCGTTTGTTAGAATTGTCAAGATTGAAAGGTAATACATCTTCTCCAATGTTTGATGTTGGTTAAAGTGAATTCAATGAGACTGAATGTAATATATTTTCTCCAATATTTGATGGTTTAGGGTCCCCTTACTGTAAATGAAATAATAAATTGGTCTTGGAATCCGCCCTCCTTGAGGTCGGGATAAACCTCAGCTGGAGCCCCTTAACCCCGAATTTTCAAGGCAGCAGTCGTCCAGATTGGCTTTATGTGATTTACTTCTAAGTTGTTGTGTGAACTTGACATAATGGTATTGCTGTTTTTATGTATGCTTAATAAGTTCTTAGACCTATTTATGCTCATAGGTCTGGCATTTCCTTTATTATTGTGTCGATGTGGTTCAGTTTTGATGTTAAAACTCTCCTCCCTTTTTTTAATTGTTTTGTTTGTCTGTTTCTTTGTAGGCGACATTACTTGCAGATTCCACAAGGCTTGTTAGGAAAGCATTTTGAAAAGCTTATTCAGTGTGATCCCCGTCTTAATTTCCTAAGTCAACAACCAGAGATTATACTTGATTCTCCACATTTCGAAACCAGAATTTCAGTATTTGAAGACCCAAACGTGTGCGAGTCGGAATTTAATCTGAATAATGAGAGAAGTCCTCCCTTTCTTAACTTGCATGGTGCCGCTTCGCCTTCAGGAGCTCATTGTTCTTCAACAAATGGAGAGCAAGACTTTGTTGTTAGTAGACGATTGGAAAACATTCGTCCAGAAACACCTTCACCAAGCTCAGGTAATTACATATTATTGCTGGTCTGGTTAGGACACTAAGCTTTTCAAGAAGTTAAAATTCTTATGTTTGGTGCATCTTATTCATTTCTTGTTTATTTCTCTTAATTTTATGTTGCATGGTGGAAAGAGCACTGTGGTGGTTATAGAGATTATTACATTCCTTTTCTGCCTGCTTACAGTTTCCATTGGTTTCTTGAGATTAGTATTTAAGCATACTAGACAGATCCGAATTAGTACACTTGAGGCCTTATTGGGCATAATCATAGTATTTCCAACTGATCCTGAATCAGTTGAATTGTTTTTCCAAATATTTATATCGTTGTTAAGGCTTAGCATTTGTGAATTGTCTTTTAATTTGCTGTTATGTCATTTAACCTGCAGTGATGGATACAAGGGCGATTCAAGATGTCAGTAGAGATATGGAGCAGTTGAAAGGCCTTGGCAACCTAGATCAGATCAGAGTGCCTGGTCTTCATCCTTCCATGTCAATGAAAGATTTAGTGAGCCACTTTGAACAACGTTTTTCTGAGCAGGGAACGTCTGAAGTTATAAGCTTGTCCAGTGACGAACTCCAAAGCTTGGAGATTCTCGAAGAGATCTCGAGGTGCTTGTTTAGTGACACTCAAAATATGCCAGCATCAGATGAGAAATCCCTCATGACAAGGGTCAATTCTCTGTGCTGTCTTCTTCAGAAGGATCCCGCAACAGCCCATAAGAGTGAGAACTATGGTGGTGTTGCAGTTGGAGGTAAGAGAACTGATGAACTGATCAGTTTCTTTCCCGGAGCAACATGTGGAAAGAAGGTTGAAGATCCTTCCACATCAGAGGACAAATCAAATGATCCAGCTCCTTCAATGTCGAGAAAAGACTCGATAGGGGATCTGTTGCTGAATCTGCCAAGAATCGCGTCGTTGCCTCAGTTTCTCTTCAATATCTATGAAGATTCCGACCGCCCAGCTAGATAGAATCTGCTTAGTTTATCATCCAGAAAAGTATGGCCTAGTTGCTTTTGTATATAGCAGGCATAGCGCCTTCCCTTCCAAGACACTGCTTAGCTACAGTTTTCAGTTTAGGTAATCAAAGCCCTCATAGATGTTGTGCAGGTAGTAGTATATGTATATAGTCGGTCATCTTTTATGTTAAGTTTGTGCAGTCCGAATAGTTTCTTAATGGCATTTACTTCATCGTTGTGTAAAACATCTACCAAAAGATACCTCTTAACTGGTATCTAACAACTCATCCTCCTAATCGTTGATAGCAAGATTTCGAATCTACTTACTGATAGCGTGATTTAAAATGTTCCTTATCAAGCCTAATGTCCTAGTGCTAGTAACATTATTAAGAGGCAGTGACAAGGCCAAATGCAAGAAGGTGCGAGGAATGATGGATCAAATAAAAGGAACTACCAACGTCTTACACAGCTTTTAAACAGTAAATAATATTGCGAACACACAGGTGGTACTCGCAAATATATATTTTACATCTTGAAAGCACAACAACCTTCTTCTATATCTGTCCTATTATTGTCTAACGAAATCTACAAAAGAATAAAGAAAATGACTGATTAAGAGTCATCTGTACCGTCACCATCAATATCATCGTCATCCTGATACATGTTCATAAGCACATTTATCTGGCTTTGCAACATAGCATTTTGCCTCTCTACATCAGCACGCTTGCTTCTTTCTTCTAGCAGCTGTATTTGCAGATGTTCCAGGCATTGAGCATCTGCTTCTAGCTGTTCATTCAGACCATCGATTTCGCGATCCTGCAGCATTGTCATATGGTTAGTGTTTCTGTTGAATTTAAACTGAGCAAGACATTTTAAGAGCTTTAGCCAAAACAAAACATGTAGATTAGAAGAAAGTAAACAAATGGTAATTTTGAGGACATTACCTTTCTATTCATTTCCTGTAGAGCGATTCTTCGCATACTTTCAACAACATCCACATTTACAAGCTTCCGTCTCTTTCCAGCCAGCCAACCTTTGGGGTAACATGCAGCATCAAAGTCTGGTGGGGGTAGCAAAGTTTCAGCTGATGGCCTACGGCCATTTGCATTTGTAACCGGCTCCAATGGTTCAAAGAGTGCCTTCCTACGCTCTGAAAGTTCAGTAGAGGGCTGCGATTCCTGCATCTTTTCATCAGCTGGAGACTCATCTTGCTTTTGAGGTGTTTCATCAGCTGGAGACTCTTCTTGCTTTTGAGGCGTTTCCAAGTTCTTCACACCGGCTACTAGGCGAAGCATTTCCTTAGCATGATAAATGTATGATATACAAAATATGAATTGTATGAACTGTGTATTGATTGGGCTTATAGTCATCACTCTATTATCTTTATGGAACAAGACATTAAACAGGACTAAAATATCAGAAGTATGTTCTCCAAACAAAATATTAGTGATGTTCAGAAATTGTTGACTATTTCAACAACTACAACATACCCAATATAAATCCATAAGTGGGGTCTGGGGAGGGTTACGCAAGCCTTACCCCTACACCTTGGGAGGTAGAGAGACTGTTTCTGATAGACCTTCGACTCAACGAAAATTGTTGACTGGTTCAAGTTCAAATAGCATGAGCCAGTCTTGTGTAATTAAAAAGCTCACTAACTACAAATCTTCTCCTTGATCAGTGAAGAAACAAGTCTGCTATTTGATGTAGCATTCACAAAAACACTATCGAGCAAAGGTGGATCCAAGATTTAAACTTTTCAGATTCGAGTTTGAGATTCTATCTAAACACATTTGTTTCGACCTCTGTAATTATGGAATGATTATACCGTCTTTAATTATATATTATATGTAACCTTTCTTAGAAAAGGATCTTTTTTCTTTTCAATCAGTCTTTCTAAAGCTCCACAAGTCATCTTTCATATTCTAATCCATCTCGAAGAATTTCCAAATAAATTAAGGAGTCCGCTTAAGGGAAAAAGAACATGTACATTAAAAAAAATACAAAGTCAACAATGCAGGGCCAAATCACTATTTCTACACAATATCCGGTGTGGAATAATAGATTAGTCTTTGAAAAATAAAATATTGGAGTGGTAATCAAGTTTAGCTTATACAGGCAAATTCCTTAACAAATAAGTAAAATTATGCAGAAGAAACATGTAATGTAATGAATGAATCAAAACACACTCATCATGACAAAGACAACCAAAATCACTAAAAATCGATGCTTTATTAATGGTTACCTAATAAGCTACGGATAAATTTACAAAAAAAAAAAAAATGTTTTTTATTCGAAAATCGAACTTATTTATTAGCTAGAAATGACGTGTCGGCAAATTCGCCACTAAATCTAGCTAATATTGGACAAAATTATCCTCTACTTTCAACTTAACCGGAAACTGTGAAACCCAACAACTAATAAAACCATTAATTCAGAACTCAACGACTTAAAATGACTATAATCGAAACTTCAAATTCTAGCTTTGCTGCGTATTTTCTAATCATTTCTAGAAATAGATCTAGTTATAGCACAAATAATCAACCCCATATTTCAATAAATCACTGTAGCTACATGCAATACTAGTACTAAATTGAAAATCAGAGAAAAAGAACAAAGAAATATTACCAGATCTTTTTCTAGACTTCCATAAAACAGGAGTTGAAGAAACAGGTGAAAATCCCTCAAGAAATCCTTCCATCTTCTGCTGCTGCCTTACCTCCATAATCAACTTTCAAATTTCAAAAAACACACACACATAAATAAAGTTTTTTTTAACAAAAACAAAATAAAAACCAGAACTTTTTTATTATAAGGTACAAAGAGATAAGAGAGAGAATTGATAGCGTAAGAGTTGAAGTAAGTTGTAGGTGTAAGCAAGGCAAAGAAACGTTTATTACCCAACTCTTGAGCCCCTTTTTTGTTTGACAAAGTAAATAAGATATGGTTGGGAAAAATAAGCATAGAGAGAGAAAGCATAATTTTTTAACGGACATGATTTTGTTGTTTTTTAGTTTTACACGGTGATGCTGGTGTTTGGTTTCTTGTTTTGTGTTCCTATCTATCTCCCACACACCTTATTTTATTATTATTATTTCCACATAGGACAAAATGGTACCTGGGTTTTTGTGATTTCTCTCAACGAGAACAACCATTATTGAAATGTGAGGATAAATATTCGTCAAAATGCTTACCGAAACTATTTAAAAGACAAAAATAAACCTGGTCTTGGGCCTTCATATTTTCTTTTACTTGTTTAATTTAAACAAACACATTTCAATGGGTCAGCCTTTATCTCAGACCTCAACGAGTAATGATAAAAATTATACATATGTATTGTACACCATGAAATGTGATCCTTTTCCGAACCTAGGTGTGCACAAAACACTCAAAGATATCAAAAACCACACAAATCAATCACAAAATAAAATTAGCTCTGAAACCAACAGATCCACGGGATCAAACACCTCCAATTATAGAATCAGTCATACATCAGCTCTTAACTTGTGAGTTCAAGTTTAATGTATCTCTCAATCACAGGGGTTTAAATGCTGAGGTTCTATGTAGTAACTTTGCATAATCTCTACCCATTCTATATGTGCAATTCCAAGAACTATACCCTAATCCTTTACAAAAAAGATGTTTGGGAGCACTTTCATTCTCCTTCACAAAATTTAAGCCCTCTCCCATTGAAGAAAATGATCACATTATGTTTCACCTAGAACGCAAGGTATGCAAGGAGGATTTGTTGCTTGGTCTTTTGGCGTGATTTTCTGCAGGCACTCGTCATGAAATACATGTCCACAGGGAAGAACAGCAACGGGTGGCGCTATAGCAGGACGAACAAAAGGACCTTCAGGATTGAACATCACATTCCTCTTGCATATTTTGCAGTTCTCTGCAATGATTTGAGCTGGTTCCTCCAACCTTGCTGAAAAATTCAAACACTACATTATTGCAATGCTGTTTAAATGGTAATATTTAGCAGTAAAATGAATTCATTATCAATTCTTCACATAGAAAATACTAACAAAATACACATTTAGTCACACTCTTATGACTTGATGTGATGCCTTTCTGAGATATCGAGATTATGCTGAAGTTCTTAGATTCCTCCAGTTAAAGGTTGTAGCGAGCGCTAGTTCCAGCTTTGGTTTTTTGGTGTCACCCTTGGGGTTTTGTGTACGTCATATGTTCATATATATTCACATAAAGTACCAAGAAAACCTTGCATGTGTTATGACGTAATGACTTCTCAACCCAACTACTAAAATATATATCATACTACACAATTGTTATGTAACAACTCAGTACTTGTACCCATCCATATTCCAAATCCTATAATTTAGATGACAAATTCAACATATAAATACGTATTGATTGTACTGTAAACCTGCACCTGCAGGCCACATGAGGAGAATGGGGCAAAAACATTGGGGGCAAGTACTAAAACATCCAAAAATTTCACATAACCCATTTTCAAATATTGAATTTATTAATTTTGGGTTCCCTCTCTTCTCTCTTAGTTCATCCTTCTTCCTTCTTTTCTCCTTCCTTTATCTTCTCAGCAATTTTTTCATTATTATGCAGTCCGTCCCAATCAACCGAAAAAGATTTTAAATAGCTTGAGAAAAATTTCAGGTCGTTTAGTTAAAAAAGTAAGGAAGTTGTTTAGATATCCTGAGAATTGATTCAAAAGGGGGGAAATATTTAAACATCCATTAGTTATTTGGAGGTGGAGGATAGGGCAGAGGAGAACAGGAGGGGATAGAGTAGGGCGATTTCTGTAAATAAGAAAATAGTGAGGTTTTATGATAATGTCATTAACACCAAGTAAAAAAGAGAAAAAGAGACATCCTTAACATTTCTTAACACTTCAGAGGTCTTTGACACTTGATAGGACTCAAACTCTCTTATAAATTGTTGGCTCTAGTCACGTCTATGGTGTCAAAACTTGTAATTTGTTGACATACATATCCAACAAGAATAGACACACAACAGTGACACAGAATTGCGACATAAACAACACAGCTAGATGAGTGATCAAGTCAGAGTAGGGAGGCAAAAACACTGGCATTCACTGATCAACTCATAAAAATGTCAACAAACAATCAAGTTGTACATATATACATGGTAAAGAAAGCACCAGAAACAGTATCTTGTACATCACAGACTAACAAACTACATTACAGAAATACCGAAAATATAAGAATGTGAGAGAACTTGAGATACCTTGCAACTTTGCACAGAGATCAGGAAGAGAAGGAGAAGATGCAGGAACTGGAGCAATAGTCATCGGCCTCGGAGGTGCTCTATGTTGAGTCAATTTTCTCCTCCGCTGACCCATCGGAGCAGTTGGAGGGGCTCTACCCGGTCTTCTTCTTTTGAGGGAAGTGGGACCATCAAGATTTGAAGCCTGAGGGGCCACATCAACCTTTGATATTGGAACGCCTTGACCTTGGTGTAGCAAATGTAATGAGAGCACAAATCAGGAATCAGCACATTTTAGAATTAAAATGTGCACAACAGCAAAGATGCGAAATATAGATATTTTCATTGAAATAGCAACACTAGAGAGTTCCTTAGATTGGGTTTTGTGGCATACCAGCATGATATGGGAGTCCACTAACATTTAACTCTGCAGATGAACCAACTTGAGGCCGACCTAGATAACATAAGAACAATCTCTTCAGATGTTACTTAGAGGTCAGATTTCTTTAAATACATAGAAAAGCAAACTGGAGCATTATCAGATATATGAATAAAATTAGTAGATACCCATTGCAAAAGAGGGGTTAAGAAGTTCAGTAGGATGCATTTTAGGTCCATGATTTTGAGACTGATACGAGTTACCTATAAATGATCGCCAAAGAAGAAACAAATAATGAGAAAAGCACCACATAAAAAGTAAAATGTGAACTCAAGCTCCGTAATGTGCTAATTTCTGAGATAAATGAGTCCATTAAGAGCACGCATCCAAGTATGGGGTAATGGAAGTATCTGGAACGAGTGCATCCTTTTTAGTGCATTCTGATGGATCCACACGGAATGCCTACACCAATTCTAATATCATCTTCCACTCCTTACACTTCACTTTACAGTGCCTAACTAAAGATTTCATGGAAGCTGAATATATTTCTCGCTGCTTTTTTCCCTTTTTAAAGGTAAACTATTTTTCTAGCTTCTTTTTTAATTCTATAAACTCATTTTTAAGTTCCAACATACATGACTTACCCCCTCTAGTTTGCTGGATGCCGCCCGTGCCAGGAAGAACACCCTCTCGAGTTGCTTGAGAAATAGCCCCGTCATTGAGCTGGACACCTGGCCTCCTGGGAAATTGATTGACAAGGGCAGATTGGATGCCACTCCATCCAGGAATTTGAACTCCCATTCCTTCAGGATATAGATTATTCCCCCAAGGATTCAGAACATTGACAAAAGATTGCTGACCTGAAGAAATTTGATTGTAGCAGCGTTAGGACCACAGTAAGTCAACAATCAGCAGCTGAAGTAGACTAAGAGGCAATTTATAGAATCAATGAAGACAAGAGTATAAGTATATAAGAGAAACTAAAAATAGCAGTGCATGTAGCCGCGAAATGAAAAAGGGGGATGCCTAATCAAACTCACATGTTGGTAGCTCACATCCTCTCACCTGATTCATGAAATTGTCTATAGAGTCATGTTTAGGCAAAACCAAGTTTATGACATCAGATCAACCATTTTACCAACTAATACACAGATATGCTTAACTCTCCTAAAGGTAGTACTCTCAACTCTGTCAATTAACAATACAACCAAGAAATAGAGGCACAATTACAACTTTGTCAACCCCCCACTTCCATAGAAAAAGTTGACCACCAACTCTGTTTTAATTTCATTTTAGTTTTTGTTTTAAAAAATAAAAAGTTATATGTAGCAGGTTCCATATTCCAACATTTCATTTTAGTCGTGACACTTCCTAATAGAAATGGTGTTACATATTTAAGACAACAAGATTCAGAAAGTATTTTTAGTATGTTTCTACACGCTTAATGATTGAAATGGAAACGAATTAATGGAGTGTTATGTGATAGAATAATGATCGCCAAAGTGAAAGGTAAGTTCATGGAGCAAACAACCTATGCATACCAGAATCCACACACTGATACGACCTGAAATATAATCTCATTCCTAGATCTCCCACTAGATCTTTTAGTTCTTAACAAACTGTTGCCAATTCTCATAGCATTTTTTAATAACACTACATCACTAAGATATTTCCTTTTTATCCGTATGTATGAAAATGCAACTAGAAAGAATTATAACTTTTGTTGTAAGACATGACTTTCCACATTCAAAGAACCTAATTCTATCGAGTCAACTCAATTTTATTTGCAAACATTCTTTAAAATGAGGTTAACAGACTATCCATAGTCATATGTTTGTTTGCTTAAGGATCTAGCCATTTACCAGGACTGTCCTGAACACTGCCAACTCAGAATATATGGCAAGAAAAGCAACAAACTGAGCTTGTTAGACACAAGAACAATTTTGGAATTCTGATCCAGCAAGCACAAAACAATTTCAGCTGTCATGCACATACACTAGAAACCCTTGCCTCAAATCAAAAGTCACCATTCCTGAAAGAAAACGCCATTGTCTTCAACAATGGTCATTTTCTACTAAAGAAAACAGGATTAAAAAATTTAATCATGTGCACATGTCAGCTAAGCTAGTGGTAAATTCAGCAAACAGAAACAGAAATTCATACACACCTAAATGGTCTTGCCTCACTCTTCCGCCACCATGACTGAGAATAGCAGGTCCCATGAAAGATTGATGATTCCTGACCATGTTTGTGTACAGGCTGCTCTGCTGATTAACATTTGGTTGAGCTAATACCCTAAACTGTTGAGCAGATCCAGGAGCTGCTGCCACTCTACCAAATCCAAAATGAGGGGGTAAAGTTGAATTGCTGCTAAATGGCAATAGAGGAGGAGGCAAACCACCTTGGGCATACATGAGAGGATCAGGTTCACAAAGTCTTTGATCAGCATTACCAACAGCAGCTAAATCTCTGGCATTAGATGAGTTAAGTCTCGCATCTGGTGCGTACATAAATGGAGGTGCACTGATTCTAGAGTCAGGAGCATGTACACCCGAATTAAAGGCAGAATTTGGGAAACCACCACTATCACACTGGAAATTTGTGATACCACCAGGAGCACCATGAATTAAACTTGGAAGATTTCTTCTTGTTTGTTGGATATGGGAATTGTTATTTTGTGGTGAAGCAGCTTCCTCCACTCCATTGCTGACCTCTTTGCTGTTGAATCTAAGAATTGATCTATCCTCCATATTACTTCCCACTCCAAGGGTCAGGAAACTACCATCCATGTTCCCTTGTGTTGTATGAAAAGGAGCATGATTGATGTTGGCATAATTTTGAAACCCTATTCCGCCAATACCTGTAGCATTCTGCACATTATACCCTACGCCAAAAGGGCTTCCAGGCATTTGACTAATACCTGTTCCTTCCCCAGCCTTCTCAAAACATCCAGCTCCACTGCTTTGCATAGGCATAAAATTCATGCCTGCCCCAGGATTCTGGAAGCCCTTGGACAAGACAACTTCATTCATGAGTCTATTCAAGGTCGGTGTTTTGTTATTCACATTTGAATGGTTTATCTCTGCATTATGTTTCATGCGATGTGACATTGCTGATGAACTGTAAAAGCTGGGTGAAATATTTCTTACATTCATCAGATTCGGTTGAAGCTGGTGGTGATGTAAGGAATTGAGATTCATCAAATCGGCCGCCTCAATCTCATTAGCATTTCCTGGAAGAGGACAGACTGCAGGCAGAGATACAGAAGGAAAGGATGTGACATTAGCCCCTGAACTGAACCCACCTTGGATAACACCATTATAATCAACAGCTCCACTTTGACTGGCGCTGAGAGAAAGATCATTAACACTTGAACCTGGCAGGTTCTCTGTTTTGTCAGCTCCCATTGATAATCTTGAATCTGATCAATTAAATAAAAAATAAGCTTAACATAAAGATATCTACTTCATAAACTAGAGGAATGAAAAAAGAGAAAGAAAAGCATAATAATTATACTTAGATCCTGATCAATTAAATAAAAGATAAGCTTAACATAAAGATATCTACTTCATAAACTAGAGGAATGAAAAAAGAGAAAGAACAGCATAATAATTATACTTAGATCCTCCTCTGGTCTCTTCTTTCCCGCATCAACACTTGGGGGGTCTGGCAGGTTCTCTTTTTTGTCACATCCCATTGAAAATCTTGAACCTGATCAATAAATAACAATAGCTTAACATAAAGATATCTACTTCATAAACTAGAGGAGACGATAAAGAGAAAGAAAAGCATAATTTACTTAAATCCTCCTCCAGTCTCTCCATGACTGAAGCTGATGTTGTAATTGCACATAGAACAAAACAAAATCTAATCTATTCTAGAGATGAACAGTTAAGCAAACTTTTGGGGTGGGGGAGAGTTCCACCTTGCAAAGGTATCAAAGAACATAGTACTTCAGATAGAAAACCAACATCATAATCCCAAACAATTTCAAATCACACTTCCACCAGACCGGCACAACAATAAAACAAGAACATGCTGAGAATACACAAAAATGAAATTAAAACACACATTTCTATATCTGCAAAAAGGGGACGCGCCATTTTCATATGTGAAGGCCTATTAAAATCTCCTTTCATATACTTCCAAAATGAGATACATGCAAATATGACTCTCATATGCCGATCACCGAAACTAAAAGGTTAAGTAGACTACACTTCATGTGATCCCACTAGGCCCACCCAAATAAGCAAAATAAGGAAATCAAACCGACACAACAGAAAAAATTGCTACCCAGTAAACAGTCAATCGTCTCTAAAACAAAAAACACATTTCTACCTGAAAGGCTGCAAAAAAGGAAGCATGCCAAATTCTTTGCACCATTTTCATTTGTCAAGGCCTATTAAGATCTCCGTTCATACACTACCAAAATGAGATTGTGCAAAGACGACTTTCTCATACACCAATCACCCAAACTAAAAGATTAACTACTTAGAACAGTAGACAACATTTAATGTGATCCCATTATGCGTGCCAATTTCTTCGTTATTTTCATTTGTCAAGCCCTATTAAAATCTCCTTTCATATACTTCCAAAATGAGAGACGCAAAGATGACTTTCTCATATGCCGACCACAATACTAAAAGGTTAACTACTTAAGAGTAGTAGACTACACTTAATGTGATCCCACTAGGCCCAAATAAGCAACACAAGGAAATCAAACCGACAAAACAGACTACCCAGTAAACACACAATCGTCTCTAAAACAAGAAGAACAGGTTGAGAATACACAAAAAATGAAATTACAACACACACATATATAAAGGGCTGCAAAAAGGGGACGCGCCAAATTCTTTGCGCCATTTTCATGTGTCAAGGCCTATTAAAATCTCCTTTCATATATTTCCAAAATAAGATATATGCAAAGACGACTTCCTCACACAGCAATCACCGAACTAAAAGGTTAACTACTTAGAACAGTAGACTACAATTAATGTGATCCCACTATGCGCGCCAAATTCTTCGCACCATTTTTGTTTAAAGGCCTATTAAAATCCTTCCCCCATATGAGATATACGTAAAGGCAACTTTCTCATACACCGATCATCGAAACTAAAAGGTTAACTATTAAGAACAGTAAACCACAGTTAATGTGATCCCACTTATGCCCAAATAAACAAAAACAAGGGAACCAAACCAACACAACAGAAAAAGAATTCTACCCAGTAAGCACAACAAACAATCTTCTCTGTTCCCTACCCTTGTAGGTTATAAACCCTAATGTCATTTCGTAGAAAACCTAGGAAATGGAGTAAAACCTATACCCCCACCACCATAAATTCCTCCTTGCGATTATTCCAAGAATCTAACAACAGAAAAATTCAACAATCCAAACAACACTACTGTATCAATACCATCAAATATGATCAGAAAGAGAAGTATTCAAACCACATTAATTACACACCCAACCAAACCAATTTTTTTATTCTTTTCAAAATTAAAACAAAAAGATTATTCAAGAACTTAACAGTTAAACCAAGGATAAAAAAGATTCAAATTAATGTATAACGATTTTAAATCTGTATGAATTCTCCGGTGGGTTCATAAGAATTCTTACCGGTGAAGAATCGTATCTGATCGGCAAAAAGATTTTCAAAAGTGAAATTTTTTTTTAGAGAGAGAAAGAGAAAGGTTTTAGAGGGAGAGAGTGGTGGTGGTGGTAGGGTGTTGTATGTGTGTGTGTTTTTTGGCGCTTCTAAGGGCTCTATAAAGAGTTTTTAAAGGGTTCGGTGTGGGGCCATTTGTTCCTTTTTGTTCTATGACACGTGGACTTGAACTACTCAGATGACGTGGCAGTAGTGATTCGGTGTGACCGTATGTCTACAACAGGTTACAACCCACCAATCGCGTCGCTTGGTGTTTGGGCTTTTCGTCTTTTGGGTTAATTAATGAGGGTATTTTCGGAATTGAAGAAAATTGGAATATAATATGGCGTACTTAAAACGCACCAAGGCTAGAGCCGTTTAGAAGTCTCAAACGGAGAAAGTCAAGCTAAATTTATTTATATAAATTAAAATAATTCAACTCTTTTTGACTAATTCTGGCCTCAAATTAAAGTTGGGGTAGTGTAATTAAATTTGTCATTGCAATTCTAAAAGGAAGAAAAAAAAAGGAGTTATACGTTATATTAATAAAGTATTTATTATTTATAGTAATAAATATGTAATATAAATTTATTTTTTTTCACAAATTTATTATAAAATTGTTATATTTAGCTAAATTAGTAATTATTTTTTTCAAATTATTTTTCCAAAAAAAGAAAAAAGCAAATTGTAGTCAAACAATAATGTTAATTATTAACCTGACACAAGAATTAAAAAGCAGTAAATAATAATAGTAATTTTATCATGATATTCTTATATTAAAAAGTAAATGATATTTAATAGCAATAGTAAAATAGGAATAAGAGAGAGAAAATCCAATTGGAAACAAAGGCAAAAACATTTAATTTAAGTCATTTGCAATGAACCCACTTGACAATAGAAGAGAACAACATTTTACAAAGTTATGAGTAATAATGTATTGTCAGCAATGAGATGTCACCACCCTCGTGTCTATCTAGTCTAACCCTACTACGTCTGTTGTCAAGTCTTCACTGCCAAGGAAAATGGGGGTTGAGTTGTGTTGTCAAAATTTAAAAAGTAAAACTATAGTAGATACCATGTTGCTTTTTTTAATTTCCACATGTTTGATTTTCTATATACTATTTGAATAGAGTAGAATGTATATATAATATGTGAAATTTAATATATAAATATATTTATAATATTTTTCAAATATAATCTAGGTTATAGTCTTATGCTTTTTAATTAGCCTTTAATTAATTAAATTTAAAATTAAAAAAATATATATAATAGATACTCTATCAAACGATACAGTAAAACTTATGCAAATACTACTTTCGTACATGTTTGATTTTCAATATATTCGATATGTCTAAACATAGCAGGATGTACTTATCCGAGTGAGGTAGGATGTAGGATGTGACTTATTCTACTTGGTAGAGTAATAGGCAAAGAAATAGGAAGTGTAAAGGTGGAATTCATTTCAAAAGGAAAATAAAGAGAAATTGGAATCTAAACAACTCCTGAATTTGATAGTAAACTATCAAGTGGATTTACAAAACTCTTCTCTCCACTAGTGATAGATATTACTCCTCAACACACGGAAAAGGGGTACGAATAATTCGAAGACCCCACAAAAATTAGGTCCCAATTCTGAATTCCACGTAGAGATGGCAATAAATCAATAACACGACAAATAATAAGCATGGATATAGTAAAAGCTATGTTGCAAAAGGAAAAAAGAATATTCACAAAGCATAAAATAAGTGTTTGAATTTACAAATCCATAATATTTAAGTTAACGGACAGAATTTTTTTGAGATATTGCAAAATTATTCTGCAGTAGAAACTTCATTATCTCCTGTGGAATGTCTTTCCACAACTTGTCAAAGAAATTACTCCTAAAAGAATGGATTATACTCTTTAATAAGAACAAAGATTAGTTCAAAACTGGATACCACATTTCTATGCAGCTGAATAACAAAGGCCTAATTTCGTTCCAAGACTATTATTGTAGTATCATGAGCCTTCCAGAAGCTAGACACTACTCTTCTTTTAGATGCTGCTGGCGTTTACAGAAGATAATGCAGCCCAAGGATGCCACAAGCCCCACGAGGTAACCAGCTATAGCTCCATAAGTCACACAAATAGGCCATTCCTACATGCAAATACCAATTGTTCGTGAATGAGAACAAACCACTTACTAAAGCATTTTCCAACCTCGTGCAGAGGTTTGCAAATTAGAAAAACGTGATCTTTCCCTCAAGAGCATAGCCAAAATATGTAAAGTTCTTACACTCCACTTCTAAAACCTAGGAAATGAAAATGCATATGAAGAAGTTAGAATCAAGGGCCAATGGAACCAGTGAGTTGCTAATAACTGCAGCCTTTTAACTGGTAGTAAATGCAAATTAATAAAGCAAAAGGATTACACAAGAAATATACTATATATTTAACAAGCGCAGCTGCACCAGCTACCAGCAGGAACATCTAAGATAATACTCACTGCGTTGATCTCTTTTCCTTTTTAATCTGTCTCAAAAAGAATGACCACTTTCCTTTTTTAGCAACACTATAATTTCAGTTTTACACATAGCATGTTTAAGGTCAGAACTCACAAGATTAAAGGACATTTTAGTATATTTAACATAACTTTAATTTAAGACCGCAAATTTGAAAAATCTTTTTTATTTACTTAAACTCCCTCCAAGTCAAACTAGATCATTCTTTTTTAAATGGAGGGTGTTAATTATAGAAAATCACCAAGATTCACAAGAACTAAGATGCAACTTCATATAAACAAATGTATGAAACACTTATGGTATAAAACTGCCTCTCCCTCTTCCATTTTTCACCTTAACGGCTGCTGTTTCTATTCGTCTAACACGTAAATGATGTAAGATTCGATTAAAGTTTTTTGCGAGAAAAAAATACTAAGGAAATTATGATGGAAGATGCATGCACAAAATAGCACTTTAGCTTTTTGAATCAGGATATAACATGAGCTGTTTTATTTTACTTATTCTCTTAATGTGGAACATGGAAATCTTGTTAACAAAGTATACTTAAGTAGTGCCCTTACTAGCAAAGAATTTTACAGATAGCAATGCAATCCGGTCTTACCCCGACAAAAAGGAGCCACATAAGCGCCAGCCTTTTATCTTCTCTCCTTTTGGTCACTTTATCTTTTGCATTAGTACTAGTATAGCAGGATATAATACTTCATTATGGTAAATGAACTATTAGCTTAGTTTGTTTAATAAGAAATCGTCTAGCAGATTCCCAACACCTCTCATTCACAGGTATGGTTCACTTTGAAGTGTCCAGAGCAACACAAACAGGTTTCCAGCAGGTGTGTGTGTGTCTTCCATATGGATGAGCTATAGTGCTATACTAATCGGGGCACTGATGAGGTGGAAACAATCTACAAGGAAGTGCAAAAAAATGACAAGGTTTGCCTTGCCTTCTAGCAGCACTGGGTATCCTACTTTGATATGTACAAGGTTCCTCAAGGTTGTTTGAGGTGGCCCTACTTACCTTAAAAACAATCCAGATAAGAATTTTTGTCAAAAAGGGAATATAATTTAAACAAGGTCATGCGGAGAAACTTTTATATGCCTTTCTATTGCAAGACTATCAAAAGATCATATCATGGACCATTGACGCTTAGTAATGCAATTAATGCATTTGAAATTCAAATAATCTGCACCATGAAACTACAATCTCTAATATTGTGAACCTCGAGTCCTTGACAATCAGTTGACTTACCTGCCATGGGCTTTCCCAATCAAGTGGCATTGGCCAAGCACCAAACCATGCTCCAATAACAGCTCCATGAGCAGGCAGACTGATCATATAGTCTGTGGACTCACTTGCTCTGCAAAAACAAACATACTGAATAAGCTCTAGGATAGATCTTAGATATAAATATCAAATGCCCATGGATTGACGAAATGGAAATTACTTTGTTCTAGCAAATATTCGGTGCCAATCAGTCCATGATGAGCCAAAAACACAAGCCGCTGGTACAAACTGCCAAACCAATATTTGATAAATTTAAGTATCCCCAGAAAAGAATTTTTTTACAAAAAAAAAGAAGCTAAACCAACATAGAAGAAAAAATGAGCAAGGACAAAATACCAATTCTACATCTCATTAACATGTGACCTAAGTGGTCAAAGAATCTTATCATTTGATCAGCTTTCTGAATGCAATAACTCTCAGGATTTCCCCACTGACTTTCCTTTTCTTAAATACATTGATCATATTTTCTAGAAGCATGAGATGAATCCACTAAACTTTTAACTGTTGTAATCTCTTCTTGGTAGCTTTTAAGCCTAAGAAATCTTTTCATGCAGTAAATAGCGCGAGTCCTGGCTGTTAAGACTTACAGTGAGTAGTGACATCAGAAGAGACCAATTAAAGGTCTTGGGGAAATATCTGTTTATAATACAGGATCAAAGATTAGTTAGGATAAGAACTACTGCATTGCAGAAGCTATAATAAAGAGAAAGTAACAGAAAAATGTTCCATTAACATAGTCCCAGTTGAGGTTGGATAGGGCAGCATTAAATGACTCCTACGTCATCTGAAACAAAAACTCAAACTAATCTCAGGCATTTTTGTGAAACATAGAGAGACTAATATCTGATAATCATCAGAGACCGATCCATGATTCGAAATTTATGGGATCGAGTTTGGAATTCTACAACAGCTTATTTGTTGTTGGGTTCAAAATCAATTATTTACACTTCTTAAGTGAATTCTTAACACATATACATGAACCAACCTAAAGTTACTAGGTTTGAATTACCTATAATTCAGACTCTACATCCGCTTCTGATGATCATGCAATAACATTGTCATAATGTATGATCAATGATAGATCAGCTCTGTTTTCCACCCAACCTCAACTGTGGCTTCATGTTTCAGTCTCATTATTATAAAAGAATATAAACACATATACAGGATTACATACTCAAAACCAACAGGTGCTCCTAATATAGTAGCTCCGAGTGCATTTACCACGGCTCCTATAAACATTATACAAAATAATTCATGAACAATACTATATGAATCTTAGACAAATGACATTAATAATATAGTTCCACTAACAGACTCTACTTACCGGCAGG